CAGGAAAAATTGCTGGTGCTGATATTGAAGTTTATTTACTTGAAAAAGCTCGTGTCATTTTTCAAGTATGTTAAATAAAATTCGATAAATTAAATATTCAGTCTTTTTTGTATTTTAGCAACCAGGTATTTTCATAAAATTCAAAATTATTATTTCAAATTGCAATTAATAATTTATTTTAGCTGAACGTAATTATCATATTTTCTATCAAATATGTTCAAATGCTTTTCCGGAAATTCATAGTAAGTTATATTGCAAAATAGTTGACATAGAAATTAAATATTTTTGTTAATATTTTAACAGAGGAATGTCTTATTGAAAATGATCCAGGAAAATATCATTATGTAGCACAAGGTATGCTTACTATTGATAATGTTGATGATGCAGAAGAAATGAGAATTACTGATGAAGCTTTTGATATTCTTGGTTTTACAAAAGTAAGTTTTAAGATGTAATTTAAATAGATGAGTAAGAATAAAAATGATGTTTGAAATAAAAAGGAAGAAAAACTTAGTATGTACAAATGTACAGCAGCTATTATGCATTTTGGTAATTCTCAATGGAAACAACGACCACGAGAAGAACAAGCTGAAGCAGAAGGAACTGAAGATTGTGAAAAAGTTGCTCATCTTCTTGGTATTGAAGCAGCTGAACTTATCAAAGGTTTACTTAAACCACGTATCAAGGTCGGCAATGAATATGTTAATAAAGGTCAAAGTAAAGATCAAGTTACTAACTCAATTGGTGCTCTCTCCAAATCCGTATGTTCCAAAAAAAGAAACTTATTATTGAACTCTTTTTTTGTCCATCTTAGATCTATTCACGTATGTTTAATTGGTTAGTCGAGCGTGTTAATGTAACGCTCGATGTTAAAGCTAAACGACAATATTTTATTGGTGTACTTGATATTGCTGGTTTCGAAATTTTTGATGTAATTATATATATATATATTGATTTACTTGTATTATATTTATTTTTGAATAATTTAGTACAATGGTTTCGAACAATTATGTATCAATTATACAAATGAACGT